CAAATACCAAAGCAGATTTTATAAGCCTGCACTCTGTCCACCCCAGAACTGCAACAGTCCATTCTCCTTTGAAATATGATCACTGGTTAATTAATCCATGATTTGCCAAGCACAAGCAGAGGCAGCAAACATGCAGCTTCCCATGCAACACTTTTAATCAAAAACCTGTGAGCAGCTGGGTCATACATTGTTAATGTGACATAGAAACTCAGAGCAATGGGTTGTTTGATTCCTATATAATCCAGTACTGTGGATTCTCACATCATACTACAACCCAGCCAATCAAAGGCTATTGACAGAAAGCAAAACTGAAGAGCACTTCTGAGCCAGCATGCTGACATGTGGCAAAATATTATTACATTACATATATAGCCCACTTTTCTTTCTTTTACAAACAACCCAAGTTACTTTATAAGGTGCTCCTCCTCTCCATTTTATCCTCACAAAAACAATCCTGTGAAATAGACTAGGCTGAGAAGCAATGACTGGTACAAAGTCACACAGAGAGCTTCATGGCTGAGTGGGTACTAAAATCCCTACCTCCTAAGTCCCAGTCCAGAACTCTTAACCACTATATCCATCCTAAACACAATGAACAACACAGTGGGATTTGCTAAGCAAACTTGAATATATGTGGCATAGTGGGACTCAGACGATCTGGATTCTAGTCCCTCTTCAGGAATGGAGCCAATTGGGTGATTTCGGGCAGTCACAGACTCTCAGCCTCACAGGTTTCTTGTGGGGATAAGACTGAGAGCAGGAGGAAGAGAATGATTTAAGTCACTCTGAGTTTTTTTAAAAGAAAAAAGGTGGGATATAAATCTAATAAATTTAAATAAATAAATTGTATTTTAAAATGCATATTTCTAAGATTGAAGTTAGTTCATGCAGTCCTAAGCCAAAGAAATGTTTTCCATTAAAGAACTTCTTATTTTTTGGTAGCAAGATAACATAACAAGCTTGTCTCCACATCCTTCCTCTTCTATTCATTACATTTTTCCATTACACAATTGGAATTTTCATTCATTCATAGCTTACTAGATGCTAAATAATCATAGAGTGTCCACAATCTCAAAACATATAACTTTAATTAATTAACTATCTCAAGAGTGTGGATAACAGGTTTGCTGTGAAGAGGACACAAACACATGAAAGGACTAGTATACTTGCAGCATAATTTTATGCATATTTAATCCTGCAATTTCCAGCACATCCTATCCAACACTGGTGACTAGAGGGATGCTGTGAGTTGTAGGATTTTTTCTTGTTAGGACTGCACCATACAACAATAAGTTGTAGGGTGTAGGGTGTTGCACCCTACAATAATAAGTCAAACAATCAAACTGGAAATGAGCACACACAGTTTTTAAGGAACTATGCAAAAATTCCCAGTGTAAGACTAACAATCTGTTGCATAAAGTCATCCCTGGAGACAAGGAAGTCCCAGGGGGACTATTGTGTGCAGTATATAAATTTAATAAACAAATAAATTTTGTCTCTATTAAGTTTTTGGTATGATCTGATAAAAGTTTTCTGTCCCACTTAGGAAAAATTATTTTCATAAATTGAGAGAGTTATGTTAGCACTCTTTGTTCTCCATAGCAAAGAAGCCCTTACTTCCAGGTAGCACATTTGTTTATTATATAAAGCCAGATAATTCATGAAGTAAAATAGTATAACAAGCTATACTTATGATCCAAGACTACTGTCTTAAGAATGTCCCACAAATGTTGGTCACCCTTGAAACCGATGGCATAGAGAAGTGGATAACATACTGAGCCCGATTCCAGGAAGACCCTCGTTTTAAGTTCAGCTCTGTTCAGTTCAGCACTGTCATGAACATATTAGATGGCCTTATTAGACATAGTTGAGTGGTTAGAATGCTGGGACTAGAACAGAAGATGAGGGCTCAAATCCCTCCTCAACCATAAAGCTTCTTGAGTGATTTTGGGCCAGCCACTATCTCTTAGCCTAATCTACTCACATATTGTTGTAAGGATAGAGAATGTGCCATCCTGAGTTCCTTGGAAGAAGGATATAATATAAATATAATAAAATATCACATCATTTTTGCTTTGCACTGATCACTATTATCTAGAAACCAGTGCAGTGATCCCCTTGTCTATGCCTGTAGCTTTCTCTACTTGTTTTGATGCATCATCAGGCACAATTATGTACAGTACAAGAAAAAAGCAGGAACAGGTGACAGTGCAAGCAAGCAGAGAAGATGAGTCTGAAACTTGCTGAAATGAATGAGCTAACAGTCTATAGAGCATTTTCTTCTAAAAAAAAAATACAGTGCAATAGTATGCATATCTAACTCAAAAGTTCCACTGAGTTCAATGGGACTTACTCATGGCCAAGTGTCCACAGGATGTCACTTTACAATCAATTCTTCACAGAAAGAATCATTGTAATACCATGTAAATGACAAATAGTCAAAACTTTGGTCCACAAAACATGATACTTCAATGTTGCAGTGATTTGCTTTAAAAGTAATAAAAAAAGTGCAGTGAATCTGGTGATTTTCCTGATTTCCCAGCAGCTGGATTTCTATTCATAAAACATACAGAGCACTTCAACTTCTATTTCAAGGTCTGACATCCCATGTTAATGAGCCTTTTACAACAATTTCAAAAGCTATTACATTTACACACCTCTTTTTCTGTTTACAATTACTAAGCCATTCTAAAGGTTGGGATTAAATGTTATGCTTCATTGAGAGAAAATAGAATCCTAAATCACCAATCCATGTATAATTGTTAATTTCCCCTACTTGTGGTCACAGTCCTTCAGCACCACTGGGCTATTACTTTGGGCACTGGATTTCTTCACTTTACATCTATGTTAAATCCCTACTTTGATTCTATGAATATTGCAAATTTCCCTAAAATGGCAGGCTTTACACTAAATTTTCCATTATAACAACCAATGCAGCATCTTTCTTAGCTATGCTGAGATATAATGTTTATAACAGCCTTTTTGAGCACAAGGTGATCACTCATTTTGTAATACCTCTGGAAACATAATTTGAATTACTGTTTTAAATAACAAGACTTTTGGTTCTCAAATTTAAGATGAATATCACTGCCATTTTTACTGCACCTAACTGAAGTTACCTGTAGTTAGAATTTTATCTTGTGTTCATATAATCAGATTAATCTGTTATGCTGAATCTTTATCGTCAGTTTATTAATGTGAACACTTTATAGAAATGTGGATTGTCAAACCACTGGACTGAATTCTACTGTACAAAGCAATTAAATAAACACTTTAATGTTAATAAAAGAGTCTTAAGATTTCTCATTACTATTCACTGTTGGATCAGGGAGAACTTGAACTCTAGAAAATTACCTCTGATTCAACATATATCATCAGAAATATTACTTGCCCAGTGAATAATCATGGGGAAAAATAGCCAGTATAGTACATCTACAAAAACCATCTATTTCTGTGCAACATGAATCTGGTGCTATAAAGACATATTTCAAAAGGACAATCGAAAGAACTGGCATGGGGAACGTGACTGTTCTTTATACACCGCAAATCCGAAGATCAAAGCTAATTATAGTTAAACCAATCAACACTAACACAAGACTTAGAAAAATAATAGCTAATGATTGGGGAGGGCAATAAATCTACATTCAACTATGCTTTCAGTATAGAGGAAACAACTACGCTACATTATTTCTTCATGTAGACAAGAGGCAATGAACGTACTTCTGAACATGTAAAGGAGGCGGCTGGTGCGTGTGTATGTAAGTATTCCGAAAAGAGAGCCCATGAATCCAGGCTCGAAATCCTATGAGTGACTAATTTCTTTAAAAACGAACACACACACACACACACACACCCCTCCAAACCAATTCCGAACCAGCTTTCCCCATTCCCCTAATAACACTGCCTCCCACGCTAATTTCCCCACAAGCTACGACGTGGCTCCCTCCTGTTGGCTTGGAAGCGACTCAGTGCAGTGACGAGTTGGAAACCAGACCGAAGTCCGCAAAGAATCCATCTGCCTTTTTAAAAGAATGCGGTTCTACAGGGAAAGCCAGGCGAGAGCCTCTCTTTCCTCTCCCCTCCTCTTCCCAGAGCGCCAGGCGAGGAAACAGAAGGTAGAAAAGCCCCGTGTTTGCAGGGGAGCTGCTCTCCCGGCCCCCACGGCTTCCCCGTGTCTGTAGAGAGCGAGGCAGAAGCAGCTTCACCTCGTGTCAGTTTCTGGATGGGGCGGGGACGAAAAAGTAACGCTGGAACGCGTGTGCGCGCGTGCGAGAGAGCAAAATACACGCGTGCAAAATGGGGCGAGCCCTTCACCCGCTCAGTGGACAGAGGCAGCCTCCTCTCCTCTGGGAAACAGTGCCTGGAAGTCTTCTCGTCTAAGACAGGGGAGCCGCCTTCTCACTCACCCCTCGCCATGAAGGGAGAAGTAGTCTCCTGCTAGACATACACGTTCCGTAGTAGCGGAAATGGGTAGCGGCGGCGGCAGCCCTGGGCGCATTTCACATGACAGAAATCGAGGAGGGAACGCCGCCTGAAACCCGAACACCATTCGCAGAGGAGCCACACACACGCACAATTAAGGGCATTTTGAGAAAGGGATGGAGGAGCTTTTTGAGGAGGGGGAGGAGGAAAAGAAAGAGGAGAAATGGAAGGACCGTCGAGGTGGAAAGGGAGCTCAGGAGCAAACTCCCTGAGGAGAAGGGGGGAAAGGCAAACGGCCCTCACAATAGGGGAGGACTTGTGGGAGTCGGGAGGCTCCGTGGGGAACGGGCAAGGCGACAGGCTAAGGTAAGCCGCGGCGACACAAGCGAAGAACGGCGTCAAGCGCGGAGACGCCACAGTAGGCGAAGCGTCGGCTTGGGCGGAAATGCCGAGACGAGAAATCGCCCCTTCCTAATGAGGGGGACGGAGGGGAGGATGGAAGCGAAAGGGAAAACCCGCCCGCCCGCCTCATCTCCTGAGAGTCGCGACGGCGCCCGGTCTCGCTTGCTCGTCCTCACCTTCCTCCCGCCGGCGAGCGCGGCGCTTCCCCCCGAGTACATGTAGTAGGCGATGCCCAGCACCCAGAGGAAAGCGAAGCAGAGCAGCAGCCGAGACCTGCGCCGCATTCTCCCGCCCGCCCAGTGCTGCAGCAGCGGCACCAGCCGCCGCCAGGCCAGCAGGAAACGGGCAGCAGCCGCTGCTGCTACCTCCACCTCCGCCGCCGCTGCCGCGCAGGGTCAGGGGGCAGAGGGCGAGAGCGCTCCACCTCCTGGCCAATCGCGAGGCGCCCGTCCCCGCGCTGGGCGGGGCGAGGCGCGTCGCCATGGTTGCAGCACGCGAAGCCTCCTGGGGTACCTCCCAGGTTGTCACCGGGGTCTTGCTGGAGGAGGATCCTCATCCGGCTTCCGGGCGGGGTCGATCCAGGTGGAGGCGCTGGCACGCGCTTTGGGGCATGCCAAAGAGGCTGACTTGAGGGGGAAGCAAGCGGGAGGAACTCCGGCGGCCGCTTGCCCCTTCGGTACTGTTGCTTTAGTTACAAAAGAACCCCCCCTCCACTTTCACTGCCACTCCCCACACTGCTTTTGCTAACTCGAATGCATGTTCGGTATGACTCAGAAGGGCCAGACGGACCTCGGCAACGTGGCTTTCCTCCTTGAATCGCACGCGGAGCAGCTGGAGGAAAGCTCTGAATAAAATCGGTGCAATCCTTAGAAGGAAACCTGCATTTGAGAGGATCTACGAGGACTTGTGTACAACGCAACCTTTTTAATATTTTTTCGCAACTTGGTGGTGCTTTTTTTTCTTTCACTGGGTTTATTGAAGATTGCTGTCTGTGATTGTGACCCTGTTATGCACACTTACCTGGGAAAAAGCTGCACTTTACAAATGCACATGTATCGCTTGTAAAAACGCGTACAAACTTGTACTGTTTTATTCCTGGTAAGGAGCGGAGAAGTGTTTCTGATGGGCGGGTGTGGGGGGTGCCGAGCCGGAGGACTGATGTTCAATTTGCAACTTGATTTCAAAGGGGTTCTGGCTACTTAACTCTGCATGTAATCAGACAATAAGGGAGATCCATGCCCATCTTGAATTTTATTGGCTTTCAGACTTCTCTCCTAATCTGTTATCTTGCCTGATTTGGTTGCTTGTGATTGTAGAAAAATAAGGAACACACTGAAAGTACATACACAGAAGCAATCTGATGGGTGCAAGAAATGCCCTGTAAACATGCAGACTAGTCTCTATGTTCTGGAAAGTATCCAGTTTTTCTCCTTGAAGAAAACCATTTCTAAGAACAAAGTAATCCTATACTAATAGTTGTGAAGAGGGCACTCCTAAACCCATTTGCACCCAGTACAACTGGATACTTATGCTGGCTAGTGATGCCCCTGCATCGACAGTAGGCAATACACGGAGACATGGGTGCTCACGGTTTCTCACCTATATAGATGGTTGTCCTGTTGCAAGATAGGGATAGACTGCCATTTTGAATATCCAACCTCCAATGGGGATGGGCAGTTGCTATGGTTTGCTGTGTCATCCTAACCCAGCTGGGTAATGGAAGTGACTTGAAACAAGACCCAGCAGGTATAGGCAATCAAATAGCTCAAGATAGGAGTGGGTGTAGCCAAATGAATGAGCAGACTGGGCAAATTAAAGGCTTCCTGTGGCATGAACTGAGTTACACATTTTTAAAATTAATAGAAAATGAAAAAAACCCTTTTGCTGCAGTTACAAAAATTCTGAGTGAAACTTTTCAATTTTCATTGAGTTGAGCCATTTCTTCTAAACAGTGGTGATCCACAGGCATCTGTATTCGGGCCAATGCGTTTCAACTTGTTCATAAGAATTAGGAGAGAACAGTTAGGAAGCCACATTTGCCCTTTTCATTAAATTGTTTAGGTACTTAAAACAGACTGTGAAGAACTCCAAAGGGATGTAACCAAATTGGGAAAATGAGCATCAAAACAGAAAAGTAGTGAAATACTAGCAAGTGTAAAATGATTCACATTTGGACTAGAATCCCAACTTCCCAGTATAAGCCTGTGGGATTTCAGCTAGAGGTAAGTGACCAAGAAAGAGATCTTGGGTTCATGATGGACAGCTGGATTTGAATGTCAGCTGCTGTGAAATAGGCAAACTCTAAATTAGCCATAGTTATGAAGAAATTGAAAATAATGTATCATACTGCTAATATCACACTCCCCTTATACAAATCTATGCTGTGACTGCACACAGAATATTGCATATTGTTCTGGTCACTGTGCCTAAAACGGGATACTGTAGAGTTAGGAAAAGGACAACTAAAGTATCAAAAGACAAAAGCAACTCCTTATAAGGAAAAGTTACAACAGCTGGGATTGGTTAGCTTAGAAAAAACATGAGTGAGGGGAGACATAATAGAAGTGTACTGAATTATGCATGCTATGGAGAAAATGGATAAGGATTTTTTTTCCCATGAAGTGGATTGGTGGGAAATTCAAGACAGATCAAAAAAAGGTACTTTACACAGCATATAGTTGAAACTATGGAATTTCCTACCAAAAAGTGTAGTGATGGCCACCAACTGGGACAGCTTTAAAAGGGGACTGGACAGATTCACATATCAATGGCTACTGGTCCAGATGGTCATATGCTGCCTCCACTATTAGGCAATATGCCTGTATATACTAGTGGCTGAATGCCATGCTGGGGAAGCTACTGCACTCATGCCTGCTTATGGGTTTCCCATAGGGAGTTAGTTGGCCAGAATGCAGGACTAGTTGAATCTTGCTCTGATCCAGCATGACTGTTAGGTTGTCATTTTTCATTTGTTTCTACTGGGAGGAAAAATTGAAAGAGCTTGGAAGTGGCTCTACAGGTCCTAGACAAGTAACTGGAGAGAGAGAGAGAGAGTGAAATGGGTAGTTCTATGAAGAGAGAGGAGAATTCCTGACATTTCCCTGCCATTTGGATGGAAAGCAGTAAAGTCACAAGCAACAGAAAGCTGGAACCTCCCACTGAAATCAACAGGAAACTTATAGGATGCACTTCTCTTTAATTGCCTATAAAATGGGGACTCTGGTCATTCTGTCTGCTGTTTCATAGAAATAGAATGCCTAAAATGTGCTATTTGGTTGAAAATACCAATGTTACAAGCAGAAGAAGTGTAGCTGCTGAAATCAATGGAAAATGAAAATGAGTGAAAAATAAATGGCCGTGATTCAAATGAATGAGAAGCTGAACAAATGAGGAAACAACTGTTTCTTGCACACACTCTTGCCCAATATTAGTCTGTGTACACCATCAGTACATGCAGTACTCTTTCAAGTGTATGTGCTCCTGCTCAGGAAGATTATAGCTACAGATCACACTCTGGTCCTCACAGATGCTAATCCTCTACCTTGCCACTGAGCGGTACTTTTGCACAGAACCCCTTTGCTGCTGGTCTATCTATAGGTGGGTCCACATTGGACAGGGGAAAAAAAGGAGAGCAAAATCCCTGGGAGACAGACTACAAAGGTCCTGTCAAGAGTCTGCTTATAGCTATGCGGTCAAAGGTTACCTTTTTGAGTAGGGGGTTCAGCTCAGGTCTTGCTGGCCAGTGGCAACAACCATAATTCTTTCCCAAGATTGCTTCTGCAAATGATGCTACAAAATATGATAGCATCATGGGCCATTCTTCCTGGAGGGCATCCAGCACTGTACCGTGCAGAAAGAGAGCTTGCCACTCTCTGGTTGTCTGATTATACATTGTTTGGGGAGGTGTGAGGAGGACTGAGTGATGTCATACTGTTTGACATTTCTGAGGACTGTTAGGCAAGTGAGTAATGTGGGGGTCCTGCCCACCCTTTATAAATGAAAAGATACTCATATGGTCAATATGGGACCATAACTGTGAGCCACCCCGAGGCTATGTAGCAAGGGGACAGCATATAAAAATATTAAATAAATAAAATAACTGAAGGTCTATTTTTCTAATCAGAAGTAGGGATGGGTATATTCACAGGGCTGAACAAGTGCATCATAGCCCCAGTGAACCTTATAAAACAGCCTACAGTGGATCTCAGAGAAAGGTTCCAGTTTCCCCCGTGTCTAGTTCTCTGCTTGCGTTCCTCCATGCTCTGTGTCCCTGAATCATTTGATGACATCTTTCTCTTTTGTAACCCCAGGTCAGTCTCCACAGATCATGCCAGCCCAAGGAGATTAATGTCAGCAGATGACATCAGACATTTCTATAGGCAAAGTCTATTTTCCTGGGTAGAAGGGCAACTGCTTTCTCCGTTTATCCCTGCTCTTACCAGGGCCACCACTACAGCTGCTTCAAATTTATATATTTTGGGGAGAAATGGATGCACACAATTATTGTCCTAATTTGCAAATGTACTCCCCTTTCCCATTGTGTGCTCATTTGCAGTTAGTGCATTCCCTGTCATTATTTCTTGGACTGGTTTATTTTCAAAATCAGGGCTTCTTGTTCTTCACAGTATGTCCCTAGCAATTGGGGATCATCTTGTAAACATAATGGCATTGTGGCAGCACAGAGCCAATGCAATTTGGCTACCTAATGACATCACTGAAGGCAAGTGAGCAGGGAGGGGACATGTCTCTGTTTTGTTATGCTGTTTTGGTGGACCACGCAGCAGGGGAACACTGGCCCGGTTGGTTAGGCCAAACAAAATCCAGCGGCTTCCTATCCAATGCATTCTACTTTACTGGCTCATTCTCCCTGAAACCTCTCCTTTGTAATGCAAGAGAGCATGCCCCGCAATAAGGCTTGAACAGTGACCAAAACACAGCAATATGTGAGCGGACCAATTCTTAGTGTGTATGTGATGGGTAGGGGGGAGTCTCTCCACACAATTACTCCTGCTCTGTCCCCTGCTACTTTTTCCCCCGCACCACAAACACCAGTTTTGGAAAAAACCAGAAATGCCTCCCCCTTGTTGCCACTTTGTGTTGCATGTTAGCCCTCCAACGGGATGAGAACTTGTTAAATGAGCATATTATTTGGAAAGTCTAAACTGTACTTGGCAGTAACGCAATCTGGATGTCTTCCCGCTTTAAAAAAAAAAAACCCACTGGGCTTATATAATGATTGTACATAACTCTTAGACTACTTAATAATAAAGAACTGGCTTCATCATGTTTGTAAACTACTCCTATTTCATAGACTTTGGGAAAGAAAGCATTTTTAGCAGTTGGGGAGTTGCTTTCTTATAC